ATCTTTCACTCGTAATCCTAATTTCTTCACACAATCCCTTGAAATAAATAAATGATCTCTGAGATCCAGTGTCACATAAACATCTACACTTCACAAATTGTTGTTCAGAATTTTGAACTTTTATTAAAGCAGTACACAATAAAATGTGACTGGTTTGATTACTTTTTGCATTCGAATCATAATGAGAGGCACAAACTGTGGCTGAAACATCCTTAGGACTCGTTAATTCATCTCTTTTAGGGATAGATTGCGTAGGCGGAGATAGATGTACTGTTTAACTGAGTTTTATTCTTTGAATTATTTACAATGTGCAAAATACTGTGATGCTTCTTAAAGCAATGTTGACATGTATTTAAACTCTTGCATTTTTTGAGCAAGTGCATATTAGATAAACAATTAAAAAAAGTAAGTTAGTGATTAGATTTTACAAATTCTATCCTTTGCTGATGAACCGATAAATTTAGAAAATTTCGAACATTTGGCTAAACTATGATCTTTTACAATAACCACAACCAAAAGTAGCAACCAGAACATTATTCTTATTTTGAAACACAGATTTAGGTACCTTATTACTTGTTGATTTGCTATTTTGAAGTGTTCTTGCATAGTTTTTTAGGAATTCAATTAAAGTCGTAAGTTTTGTTTTGGAATCTCATTACATTTTAACTGACGTTCCCACCATAATTTTTGTAGAAGGGTCTAATTTTTGCAAAATTAAATAAGTCATTAAAGTGTCACCAAAATTATCAATGGTTTGATTCAATACTTCTAAAGAACGAATTACTTTCATTAATATTGTCAACTAAATTTAAAATAGCAAATGCTGATTCATTTTGAATAGTTGGTAAGCTTAGAAAACGTTTAATATATGCAAAAATTTGTTCTCTCTTATTTGAATATCTTTCGTCTAACAGATTCCATGCTATTTCAAAATTACAATTTTTTGAATTGTCATTTGAAATTTGAATGGTTTGAATAATGCGATATGCTTCACCTTTCAACGAAGCCTTCAAATACTGCAATTTTTGAGCATTAGATAAATTTGTATTATTTCTTACACAAGCACTGAAAAGATCTTTAAGAGCTATCCATTCTGTAATATTACCACCAAAAGTCAGTAATGTTAACTTGGATAATTTAATATTGTCAAAAACCTGTTCTGAAATTACACTATTAGAATTATTTTTACTATTTTGATTTTTTAATATTTTTTCACTTTTAAATTTCCACAAATAAATTTTATCTGTGTACTCCTGAACATTATCTATTTCGTTTTCTAATTCTTTAGTATCTGTAATTAAACTTTCGATTTCAGAATCAAGCTTCCTTAACTCAGTTTCTTTTGTTTCAATGATTCGACACATTCCTCTAGTTCTATTAAATTAATTTCATCTGCAGTTAAAATAGTTTCATTTTTTTTTTTTACATAATTAGTAACACTCCTGCGTAAAACCGCTCTTTTTGTTTTAAAAGTTATAAGTTCACTCATAATTGATCAATTCAAAACAGAAATTGCTCTTAAATCACTTAACACTATTATTAAAATGAAATCGAAACACTCTTCTATGCTGTATTACAACATTGTTCTTAAAATCAGTTATAAACGAACTTTTAGTAGAATATAAATGTTCAAAATCCACTTACCTCACAAAGTGGAGTAATTTTTCACCAACCATATGCATAGTTGCGTTGTTACAATGCACTTAGAACAGTCACTATCTTCACTAGCACTCCGGCTAGACTTTTGACCAATAATAAATGATCTTTACTTAATATGTTTCACAAACAGTAAATACGTAACACATGGACTGTATTCCTTCACTTTTATTTCATTACACTAATTATAAATAAGATATCAGCGATGCGAAATAATTGATACAAAATAAGCGAGCCATTCTACATGGCTGTCACAAACACAATTCTATCAATCAATTATCTTGTTGCCACACATAAAGTTCAAAACTAAAGGAAGGAAAAACAAAAAAAAAAAAAAAAAAACAAAAAAAAAAATTACTCTGTTTGCAACAATAAAATGAAGCAAACGATACTCACATAAACACATACCATTCAGCTTGCCCATTACTAGATGGTTAAAATGGTGCTGTAGTTTTGTGTTTGATTCCGTTATTCTGTAGAAATATCTTAAACTCGTTTGAAGTGAATTGTGGTCCGTTATCACTCACTAACAATATAGGTAATCCGAATCGTGCAAAAAAGTCTCGTAAACATTTTATTGTTTTGAAAGTTGAGCTAGATTTCATTGGATAGGCTTCTAGCCATTTTCAGTGAGCATCGATGATTATCAAAAACATATGCTTAAAAATAGATCCTGCATAATCAATGTGAATACGTTCCATTGGAGCGCTCGGGTAATCCCAATAATGAACTTTTAGGATTTATTTTATGTTTTGCACATTCAGAACAGTTTTTAGCAGTATTTTCAATATCTTTATTTATACCATTCCAAAATACGTAAGATCTCCCAATTGCTTTCACCTTTACAGTCCCTAAGTGTCTGTGGTGCAGCTCTTTCAAAACATTATCACGGTATCGTTTTGAAATACAAACGCATTCACCATACATTATACAGCTATCTTGGAGACTATACTCCATCTCCCTTTCTTTCAGTTCATCGCCGCTTTGAAGCATTCGTAGCAGAGGACCACATTCTGCATCAATTTCAGTTTCTTTAGCCAAATCTTTGGCAGAGTTTGGAAGAGTTTCAAACTGCTGTAATTGAAAAATAGTTACATCATCTTGAACAGACAGTTGCTCTGAGTTCGTTGGCAATTGTGATAGAAAGTCAGCATTACCATGCTCGTTTGTTTTGCGTTAAATAATATCGAATTGGAATGACTGTAAAGCCAAAGCGTAATTTAGGAGTCTTGTTGCTTTCAAAACTAGCATGTCTTTCTTTGAGCTGAAAATTGCAACAAGAGGTTTATGGTCTGTAATTAACTTAAATTTCCTGCCTTTTAAGTACAGAAAACTTTTTTTTTTTAATTCCTCAAATGATTGACAAAGCTTCTTTATCGGTTTGGGAATACTTCTTTGTTTCAGTCAGTGTTCTAGAAGCATATACAATTGGTCTTTCTGTTCCATCAGGAAGTTTGTGAGAAAGTGCCGCACCTAACACAACTGGTGATGCATCAGTTGCCAATGTTAAGGGCAGTTTTGGATCATAATGCATCAAAACTTTTTGTGAGCACAATTCTTTTTTAATGTTTAGAAAAGCCTCCTGACAATCCTTCGTTCAAACCCATTTTGAGTTTTTTTTTAGTTAGTTAATATAAAGGATTTGTCATTGTTACTAATTTAGGGCAAAATTTTCCATAAAAATTAACCAATCCCAAAAAGCTTTTAATTTCCTGGACATTTCTGGGTCTTGATGCTTTTGCAATCGCTGATATTTTTTCATCAGTTTTATGTAAACCATTAGCGTCAATAGAAATTAGTACCCTTGGAGATTTTACAAAAAGTCCTTTTGAGGTGTAAATCAGGATGCAGACTTACAGTAAAAACAAAGGCTGTCAGATCGAACATTTTGAAAAATACTCATTAGATTTTAAACATTAGTTAAAAGAATTTGAAAGCGTTCTAAAAATGTGCAAATACTCTCTCTAGCAATTATATTGATATGATATGTAAGTTTGAATCTGTAGTGCATGCATATTAAAATTTTTATAATAATGAATAAAATAGGTAGGTGAATTGATTTGATTTCAAATGTTTAATTGCTGTTGCAATTTCTATAATAATTTTATTCTAATATTTGCAGTCTAATAATATTTATTACACTAAAAGCTTGAATATCCACAAATCTTGGGAAATGTCAAATTCTGGATTTGTGGAAATTTTGGATAGTTGAGAGTATAAAAAATGGAATTCATGTTAGAAAAGCTAAATCAGTGGGGAAACAACCATGTCATTTGTTACCAACTTGAGTAGCAAAAGACTGCATTTAAAATTATGTTTTTTTGGGGGGGGATGAGATGCATTTCAGATTTCAAAACCAGCATATTTCGAGGGCTTTAAACATGAAAGTAAAATATCTGATCAGATTATGACATTCCACTGGAGATAAAAGTTGGCAGAGATGTTGCCAATCTTTCTGGCAGAAATTTAAATGAGCAGATCATGCTTTATGTATAGATAATAAGAGATACAAATTAGGGATATAGCATATAAAAAACTTAAATCACTTATAAATTTTCACATTACATCATCATCGTTCATCCAAAGTCATGTATGGTGGCTTTTGTTGATGCCTGGATCCTATAACTTTGAAAGTCTAAAACATTAATCATTTTTCCAAAATGTAAGTAAAAAATGGAACTTATATCCATCTTTGGTATTTGTAGAGGAATTTTGAGAGTCTTGGTAATCCAAAATTGACTGGGAACACATGATTTAAGATAATGATATATGTGCATGCCTTTTTAAAATTCTTTTACTGATGGTCTCTATTGAAAAGTTTCAATATGCAATATACAAAAAGGAAAATTTGCATGATGAATAATTTTAACCTGTAGTGTTATAAAAGTAAACTTAATTTAAGTCTTATGTTATAAGATAAAAAACATTAAAATTAACTGTAAAACTTACTTTCTTAGAAAATTACTTAATTGTATTTGCTAGACTGTAATAGATGGATCTTTAGGCAGTATTATCTTTCATAATCATGAAAGTAATTTATTTAACTCTTATTTAGTGATTATCTTTTCGTTTTTAGATAATACATTTATTTTTGCCATAGGTTTTTCATCTTTTGATGCTTGATATTAGTCATTTACTAGTGGTTTGTATATTTATTGTTTTATAAGACTTTGTAAAAATATATTCAGAAATATCCCTGTAGTAATTATTTCATATGGTCATAAGACTAAGTTTCAGGTATGTAAACTAGTTAATGTAAGAAAAAGCTAATAATGAAATTTGCTTAATGCCATGTTTGTTAATGGCATTTCTTATTCTAATGATACATATATTTTATTATATAGGTTATCAATAGTTGAGCATGGTTACTTGACAAAGCTTCAGAGATCTTTGCAAAATGATGTAGAAGAAGTTGTCAAAAAATGGACCGAGAAAGAGAAACAAATTCTGCAAGCAAATCAATGGCAGGAGCTTTTAGATTCAGAAAAAAATTGTAATTTTTTTTCTCACTCTATGCACACAAGATCTTTAATGCGCAGTGTTGAAAACACTATACAAATTCTAGAAAAATATTTACCAATTCTTTCTGCCTCATGTGGTGCATTTCTACCATTCAAGTCATCATTTTCTCACACACTTGAAACTTATGTTATTGATTTGATAAAACATTTGCAGCATATTTCTAAAGTAGCTGATAAACACTTTTTAATATACTTTGAATACATAGCTGCTAATAATGCACTTTTCTTAAGAGACAGATTGCAATGTTATTGTCAGATTTTGAAAGATTCTTCAGATTCTGAGTAAGTATTTTTAATCATTTAAATCATTTATAAAAATTTAATAGTATGATTAAGTATGAGTAAGTTACGAGTAACACCTCAAAGCTTTTCTCTAAAACCTAATGTGAAGAAAAGATACTTAAATTTTAAAGGCTCTCAGACTCTTAATTTGAAAATTTATTTAATAGATGTAACAGATATGAATATGTAAATTATTAAAAAATGTTTGTAAAAAGTTCATAAGAAGATATTTATACTGATTGTTATCTGTATTTATTCTATGTGTTTATCCATCTTCCTGTGCCTTTCTTTGCATTTGAAAGTAAACAGTTTCTATTATTAAATGTATATATGTGTGTGAATGTGTATGTATGTATTTATTTTGTAAAGTCATTTATTTTATTAAAATTTATTTTTTATCAAGGAATGAAAATTCTAAAAATAATGTATACCAATCAGCCTGTGAGTTGGCTGATGAACTGGTGAGTTCAATATTTCTTCACCATTACAAGTATCTTATCTGTGGTATCTTGTTTGATGCTGATAGCTATAATTTTGAAGACAAGAAGGCATTTTTTGAGGTAAGTAGTTAATTTCATAGCTTTGTTTTTCTTCTTTATAATAGGATGATAAATTTTACTGGAAGTGGAAAGTTTGAAGGAAATCTAATTCATTGTTAAAGAAAATTTTCAGCTATATATGATATTTTGAAACCCCATTATGTTTAAAAACTGTTTTATGAACATTTGTGGTTGTTATGTTGATAATATCTGTATTTGGATGTAAAAATATAATTTGAATTTTTTCTCATTTGTGAATTTTCTGTATCTTGTCATTCTGTTTAATCTTGAAATTGGATCCTTAAATCTTCATTTGTTATAGTATAGGTTCCAGGAATCTGAGCATCATGTTGTATCTAATTACTTTTGGTATTTTTCTGTTATGCAGCTGCAATACATTTTCAGATGTGTGTGTCTTACAGAAAAGAACAGTATGTGTGTGCATAATGAAAAAGTACCGTGTGTGTGTGGGGGGGACCCATATGTAAATTATTCTTATACCTAAAAACTATTTAGGATTAAAATACCCACCAAAATGTATGGCAGGTGCATAATGGAAAAGTAATTTACTTCCCTCCTTTGAGTGGGGAGTATAATATGTGTCTTAATATTTTCATTAAAAATATTGAAACATGCTTTGCTTTAAAATGGAATTATTAATAATTTCTATGAACAACTGACTATATGTAAGACTTTTTTTTTTAAATTTTTTCATACGACTCAAGTACACCAGGTATGCTTGATTTTTTTCACTATACCTCTTGATGATTTATTCTGTACCTTTCCTAGCTTTAGTAAAATTAAAGGAATTTAAGTTTAATAGTATAGCTTATCAGAAATTTTGTGTTTGGCTTCTACTTTATGCTAAATCTTATCATTATTTTGAGTACTAGATGGCTACTTATTAATGTTTTGATAGAGTTTTGATTACTTAATACTAACCATCACCAAAATTTTCTAATTTTCTTTAATAATTTTTATGAAAGCAAATAGTGAAATAAGTAATTATACAAATCTAGATATTAAATCAATGCACTTTTTATAGGCTGATGCTCGAGTGCTTAGTTCTCAGTCTTTTTAAATTTGAGGCTCGCTAAACTCGGACACTTTTTTTTTTCATGTATATGTGTAAAACACTTGCAACACAATTTAAGCAACTTTAAAGCAGGAGTGCCAGCCTTTTTAAAATTAAGAGCACCATAAAAAAAATTGACATTGCTCATTAAAAAAACTGCATTCAGTATTAAATTAAAAAAAGAATATGAGCCAAATATACTGAATTATTGCACTAATTATCGTTTTTCATATATTTTCCAAAAGTTTTGTGTTTTTCTATTCTGAAGAAAAAAAACCCAGTAATTCATTTCTGAAATGCAACACACAGTTTTAATTCTTTCCACATCCAGCCACCTTACTTCCAAACATTCATAGTCTGCTTCCATAGGTGAATAAAATTTCAGAATTTGGTTTTTCATTGGCCTTATTTTAATAAAATTAACCATAGAAACTACTTTTATCTAATACTTTATTTACACTCATGTCGATAAATTAAGGATAATTCGGAGTCACACGGAAATCGAACTCTAAAATAAATATATCACCTGTAAAATCACTACACCCATCTTCAAGAATCATATGCAAATTTCAGGAAGTAGCCAGATGATACCGATGGTGCATCACGATGACGAGAGTGTAAGAGAGTGATATATAAGGAATACAGGCAAAGAAGTAAAATTGTTCGCAGGCGCTTTATAAGCATTTCAGTGCAATCACCGAATGGTTATGACACAAAGGACGCATTTGGATGATTTTTTACGTGGTAGAATTATCAGCCGGCTGGAATGTGGGCATACCCAACTGGAAGTATCAGACGAACTTGGAATTGCCCAGAGTGTCGTCTCCAGGCTTTGGCAAAGATTCCAAGATGATGGTAATGTGAGTAGACGTTACAGCACAGGTCGCCTCAGAGTTACAACGCCGAATGAGGACCGGTATTTGCAGTTACTGCCAAAAGAAACAGGCGGAGCACAGCCTACCTGTCTCGTAAGCTCTCTTCAGCCACTGGTATGACAATTTCAAGGCAGACCATGTACAGACGCTTAGGGCAGATTGGCCTATATGCTCGTAAACCTGTCAGATGCGTTCCACTTACTGCAACTCACTGTCGCCTGCGGTTAGCCTGGAATAGAGAGCATGCATTGTGGACACCGCAACAGTGGGCTTGTGTGATGTTTTCCGACGACTCCAGGTTTAGCTTGCAGTCTGATTCTCGCCGGACGTTCATATTTAGAGCTCCAGGTACCCGTTACCACCAAGAAAACATCATTGAATGACACCGTTACGGTGTAGGAGTGCTCGTTTGGGGTGGAATTATTCTGGGTTACAGAACTGACCTGCATGTTCAAATTGGAACCATGACAAGCCAAATCTATCGCACATCATTCTGGAACAACATGTACGTTTGTTTCGGGGCGCAATGGGCGCACTGTTTGTGTTTGTGGATGACAACGCCCGTTCCCACCATGCAAACATCGTTAGCGAATGCCTTCAATCGGAGGATATCACCCGTATGGACTGGCCAGCATTCTCACCGGACTTGAATCCAGTAGAGCACGTGTGGGACATGCTTGGCCGACGAGTTGCAGCCCGTGAACCTACTCCTACATGTCTACCGGAACTTCGGAGAGCATTGCGTTTTGAGTGGTGTAATATCTCCCAAGACCAGATCAATAATTTGATACTCAGCGTGCGTAGGCGTTGTATGGAACTGTATTGCATCGTCTGGGAGACATACAATGTATTAACAATCATAGAAACCATGTAATATTGGTTTTTTTGTAATTTGCTCCAGGGAGAAAAAATCGTTAATTTTTTAATAATATCAAACATATAGCATCTTTTTTTTGCTCTTTACCTTTTGTTTAATAAATAAGCTTTAGAAATAAGTCAAATTTGTTTTGCTTCTAACTCTTCCTTTGCCTGATTTTGCATTATCCTTAATTTATGGACATGAGTGTAATTTCTTAGGTATTGCTTTCAGGGAAAGTATGTCTTAGTGCAATAAACAGTGATGAAATATTATATTTGGATTGTTTGTTTCTGCTTTAACTGATCCCACCATAAATGCTGCTCCCTTGGTATAAATGCTGACACATTTCAATGCACTCAAATACGACATTATCGTGTTAAATAAGTCGTAACCAGTTGTTTGCCTCAAAAGTTCTTTGTATCATAAAAATTCATTTATTATGTATTAAATTGTTCATAAATAAATTTTACAAAGCCTAAGAGAAGCATTTTGTCACTTATGTAAGTTAATTCATCTTCTTGTAGTCCAAAGAGCATGTTAACTAGTTTCGTTTGCAACCATTTAGTGGTGTAAGATGTCATTAATTGTTCTACAAATCATATCATCAGATATCCAAATCTGCAAATTTCCTTCTTGCTTTTCTCCCAAACATAATTGTCACCATTTCACAGCTGGCAGGTATAAAGAGAGATTCTGCTGTTATACATAGCTTTTGTTTTTGTTTTTTTCCTACTAAAAAGGCAATTTTAAATGATGCAAGTTGAGATTTATCACTTACTTTCATTGTTTTTTCAAACTGTCTTCTTTGTTTACCTTGCTTTTACAACAGCCTCTTGAAGAATTCTTTATTTTTTGATGAAAGCTTTTTTATGTTCATTTGAAAAATATTTTAAATTAGCTGGTTTCATTGCACTGTTGGCAAGTTTCTTTCCATGTACAGATTAGAGAAGAGTTGGACATTCTGTATTTCTGGTCCAGGTAAATCTGAATTTTAAGTATTCTTTGTCATACAAGTGTTTGGCATTTTAAAGTTGATTTCATAATTTTCATAATTAAAGTTGATCTCTACTGCACTGTCTTCAGTTCTGCTAGTTTTAGCAGTAGCAACTCATCAGTAACATCAAGATGAGATTTCTTCATGAGGAATAATCCATCACCTGTAATAAAATATTTATGAAAAGTATAAAATTAGTTAGAAATAGGAATCAAGACTTACATAAGTTATATATAAGACTTACATAAGTTATAAGTAAACCACATTAACTTCTCAGAATTCAAATGTGAACTGCTCAGCCATACCAATATGTAACGCTGTAAAATTTAAAATGAATTAGTTTACCAGTGGAGAGAAGGTTCTGATTGTTTGGTAGAGGTCTGCAGCACTGTTAATTTAGAATTGATTGAAACTCAGAATTGATCCTTGCCCTTTCATACACTTCCTTTCTTTTATCAACTTATTTCCTTATTGAGCCCTTTTTCTTTTGTTTTCATGTTCCTCTTTATCCAGTACTTTCATTCTGACCATCAGCTTATAGCCTTTCTTCTCCAACATCAGTAAATGGAACCTTCAACTGACACTAGTTGCTTGCTTGCTTGCTTTTTTTTTTTTTTTTTTTTTATATTTATTTATTATATATATATATATATATATATATATATATATAACCAATTGGTCTGGTATATGATGTCATTTTTCATAGTAATTAGGTGTGTATTAAGGAAGTGTTTCTAAGAAGTATAATTATCATTTGCATTTGCTGGTTACAGTCCCATCAAAATATTGATTTTACTAATGTACTATTATACCAATTTTTTTCCAACAGTTTTTAATTATGTATTTGATTTTATTGTGAAGTACTTCAAGGAACTTCATGGAGCTCCAGTTTTCTGTGGATCATGGATTGAGAATGATGAACTTAGAGGATTAATCATGTTTTTAGTATTCTCAATATTTGATTTTGATAATCCTGTATTGCTCTCTTTCTACATTATTCTTGAGAATAATTATTATTATTTTTATTTAGTCCAAAGGGGCTTTGTCCCTGAAGGACTATAGTTTTCATTTTGCGATTTTGTGTTGGTTCATTTTAAATGTCAGTTTCACTTTTCAAACTGTTGCCACTAAATGTTAGAGTCATGCATTATGTTTGAAGAAATTAAATAATAGAAAATCTGCATAAATGTATCTATGTTTTTCGCATTGTGATAAAACAACGGTACATAGAGCCATCGAATTTTGAATGACGTAAACCTACTACGAATGGGAATGTGGGAGCCCAAATTTAAGATTTGTTTTATTATTGATTTCATATTTTATAAAACTTTAACGAATTTTTGGTTAACAAACTCAAGGATTTCAAAGTGAGCAATGGCAACGTTGTGCAGAAAAAACATTTTTATCTCCAGCGCTCGAGCCTCTGTATCGGAAATTCTAAAGATATGCTCAATTTAAAACTATTTTGCGATATTGCTCTTGAACTGAATTTTATGGTTTAATTGCGAAGAACATGATATTTAATAAAGGTAACAGACAAAATGTTGGAAAAAAAAAACGCCCCTTTTGACATAATTTAAAATCAAAAAACTTTTTTTTTTTTTTTTTTTTTTTTTTTTTTTTTTGTGTGTGTGTGTGTGTGTGTGTGTGTGGCTTCCTTCTACATGTTGTAAAACTTCAAAATTTTTTAATTATTTTAATAAAAATTGGTACTTTTTCATTTTTGATTTTGTATAATATATAATTCAGTTAGAAACAGCCGTTTTTGCTTTTGCAATTGTTCCCATAATCTCTTCTACTAGTGTTAAAAATTGCCTGTATTCTGCAATAATTCAACTTCTAATTCATATTTTCATCTATTGATAAAGTTCATGGTTCTGTCTTTAAAGATCTCATATTTTTATTCTTAGGAAATTTTTATTACAATTCTTGGCAGCGTGGTTTAATGTACCTGTTAAACTGAAGAATTTTGAAATTTTTCATTAAGGAATTTAAATTTTAGTTCAAGAAAAAGATAAATTAATAAATTCCCTTTCACTCCTTATTGTTTTTTTTTTTTTTTGGTGTCCTTCAATAATTCTTTAATTTTTTTCACCTAGTGAAACATCCGGAAATCTTTTTCATCTAGTAAATTAACTTTCTTTTGGCATTTTATTTTGTACTGATCAAAATATGCCCTCTTTAATGTCTTTAATTATAATTTTCATTTTCAAGTTCTTTCTTCATAGTTTTTTGGTTTTCTAAATAGAATTTCTCAATTTTGGTACTGTAGCCTTTGTGTTTAGAATATCTAACTTTGTGTTTAGAATGAAATGTGCTGCATCCTCAGTGTAATACTTTTTGCAAAGACAGACTTTTATAAAGTTGTCTTATGAAATGCATGAATCCTTTTACTTGAAATCAATGCCTTTCTAAAGTTTAATTTTGTATAACTTTAAAGCCCCAAAGAATATTATAAATATAAAATGTATGTAACATTATATTTTTGATAGTATAATATAATTTTGTATTCTATCTACTTACCTTCTCCCTCTCCCCCCAAAAAATAAGTAATTTTGATTCATATCTTGTTATTGCTCCAAAAGTTTTCCACTTACAAAATTGACTGTTTGTCATGATTATATTATTACTGTCAATGGATAGGAAGAAAAAGTTGAAATGTTTTTATGTTAAAATATTTTCTTACACATATTATTATGTATATGTTGTGCACTTGCAAGTTTGTTTCCACAGTGGGATGGTATAAAGCTACTAAGAACAGCCAGATCAAGAAAGGTAAAAATAAATAAATATACAAAATTTCATGAATTTATGTATGTTTTAAAATAGTGTAATTTATAGCAATACTGTATTATTCTTAGTTAATTATACATAAATTTAAGTAATATTTTCATCCTTTTGCAATCACTGATATTTTTTTAGGGTGAAAGAATTGCATATAGTATCCAGATGTGGAATATATATATGAAAGGACTTTTTCATGACTTAGCTTACTTTTTGCCCCAGAATATTGCCCAAGAGCTGTATGCGAGAATTTTATCGATTTCTCTTGATCATTTTCTTATAAGATATTCACACTGCAGTCCAAGTGAATTTAGAACTCCTCAAATTGCAAAAGATGTATTTACTGTTCTTTTGTGTGTCAGTGAACTTCTTTATCCAGCATGCTCTTCTGTGTCGCATATAACTGGAACAAAAAATGAAATGGATCAAAGTATCATTGTAAGTGATTAGTTTATTATACATGATTTTGTTTTACAATATAAAGATGAAAGTCTACAAATATTGAATATTTTCTAAAGATAATAGTTTTATTTACATATTATGCAGTAGGGCATCGACTGTTTAGAATGTGAATTGTTTGAATGCTTTCTTTAAAAAAGTTCAAGGGGAAATTTTTTAGGTCCCTTTAAAAGACAAAGCTTCTCACCCTTGAGTTTTAGATTCATTTTAAAAACAGATCTGATTTTATGCACTGAAAAAGAATGCCACCATTTAAAATTAGCTGCTATAGATAGTTTAAAGAACTGCTAACTGAGAAGTTATGAACTGCAAAAAGTAAATTTTGTGTCAAAATTTGGTGGCATTTTAAAATATTGGTTAAGTGGGAGGGGGAACTTCACCAGGTATAGTTGTTTTTATATAGTTTAACTATCTAATATATATCTATTCAGAAATTAATTTGTTTAATGTTCTTTGTTCCTAAATGAATTTTTTTTCATAGACTTTTAATTTAGCTATCAATTTTGAGGATGATCAGACACAGGTGCCATTTCTCCAGGAGGGAGAGAAAAAGTTCTCACAGGAAGGGGGGGGAAATCATCAAGTTCTGCATTTTAACCATTTTGCTTTTCTTGCTATTTTATACTTTTAATGTTTATCACTTTTTGTGTTTTATCCCGTTTTATTTCATATGCCAGCAACCAAAAAGCAATTTTGTAAGTTATGCTTCACTCAAGTGTATGAAATTTTTTAACTATTTCCATTTTTTTTTTTAAATTCAAATGTCAGAATATCATTTCTAAATTTATGCATAAATTCAAATTGTCACTTATCACAGTATAAGAAGTGTACATAAACATCATCTAAAACTGAGTATAAAAAATTATATCATCGTCCTTTGAAAATTGCCAATTCTACTTCAAATTTCTCTTCTGCTGATCATAAATTTTGGTGTAGAGCTAAAAACACTTGTCAGTGCCATAAAAAAAATTCTTCCTTCTAAAGTCCAATAGCTCACACCCTATTCCTTTAGCCTCAATCATTCTGTTAATCTTCTCACTTTAAAGTCTGTAATGTTATTCTTTAAGAGGATCAGCTGAATGTATTAAATTGTAACTTCAGTGTTTAAAAAACATTTAAATCTGGCAAAATTTTTGTGCTCCTGAAGATGAGGAACCTGTGACAGATTGCCCTCGAAATAATAATAAAGTTTGTTTGTGTATTGTTAATATCGTCAGATAATAACTGAACATTCTTCAGAGCTCGACTATTTTTTATAAGTCCAATTAGATATTTAAAGTTTTCCTTATGTATAAAATTGAAAATAAACTATTAAAAATGTATCAGTGCATGAAACATTCATACAGACTTATCTGCATATTTGGTTAAAAATAAAACATGTTTTTTTAAATATTTGAAAAAGGAAATGACTTTTAGGCTTTTCCCTTTTGAATATGTTCTTTTTGAGAAAAAGGTTGGATTTGTTCTATAGGCATAACAGTAATGATGTTTACAAACATGTATTTTTCAGGATAGAGTTTCTTCTGGAAGAAACATGGTACCAGTGAAGAGATACAATAACGCTAACAGTTTAACTAATTTAAAAATAAATGTTTTGTTACTTCTGCAATAAAATGCAAAATAATTAAATAACATTTTGTCAAAAAATCCAGTGAAAAACATGGTACAGTTCTTATTTATTATTTGATGTGATATTTACTAGAATTCTTTCTTTTCAAACATGCTGACTAAATGAGAAAATGTTCCATTACTCTTCAAGATTTTATAATGCAATTATTATTTTTAAATTTGTGTATTTAAATAGCAGTTTATAAATGCTTACATATTTTAAATATGTCTTAATTAGTACAATATTTTGTTCTTTTCTTCATACAGTTCATTAATTAGTTCTCCTTTATACTTCCTTGTACAAAGTATTGTAATCGCAGAAAATTTCAGGTATCATATTTCAATGAAAATATAAATTTTGACCCCTCTCGAACCCATTTGAATGATTTTTCTTTGTGTGACATCTGTACATATGGACAGAAAGGACTGTGTTTTTCAAAATGAATTTAAGATAAACTCTGAAGATATTTTTTCATGATGTCTATATGTACGTATGTGTCTCACATAACTCAAAAACAATTAGCCATAGAATGGTGAATTGTATTAGGGACTACTATAACACCTCCTTCCAAGATACACACCTCCCTTTTTTGTTGCATTTGGCTACACCAAATTCAAACGTGTGTGTATATCTATATATATAGATTACAAAACAATTTTTTTAAAAACAAAATATAAACATGCCTAGTAATATAAACATGCCTAGTAAGCTGCTGAAATTTATCATTAAAAACTTAAAGTAAGAAATTTAAAACTAATGTTTCACAAAGACCAAACATTTTTTAATAAATTTCAAATAATCCTATAAATGCAACAAAGAATTTAATATACGTAAAAACCAAAACTTTTAAACAAGCATTACTCCAATGCAAAAATTTTTTAAAGAAATTTAAAGAAAAAAAAAAAAAAAAAAAAAGAACATAACAAAAAAAGAAATTCAATCAACTTCAATGCCACTTCATCAGGGGGGGAGGGACATTGAAATCACTTTTCCATAAACATCCTTGCTTTCTGTATTCAGAATTAGCCAATGAATCATTTCAATGTATTTTAATTAAAATAGTTTATAAGGTATTTCTCCCGCTTTCCAGCGTGCCTTCGTGGTGTAACGGTAGCACGCTGGGCCGGTATTCCAGAGGTCCGTGGTTCGATTCCTGGCGAAGGCAGTTGCTTATTTTTCATCTCTCCAGCTTCCAAAAAATCTTAATGTCTCTATAGTAGCGCCCGAACTAAAAGGGTTGTGGATGATGATTCTCCATATCCAGGATTTGGCGACTAGGTCCCCTAAAATCCTATTTGCCCTTTAAAAAGGGGAGTATATAAGGTATTTCTCCCGCTTTCCAGCGTGCCTTCGTGGTGTAACGGTTGCACGCTGGACCGGTATTCCAGAGGTCCGTGGTTCGATTCCCGGCGAAGGCGCTGCTAATTTTTACTCTCTCTGGCTCCAAAAAAATACCTAATGTCTCTAAAAGTTCACATGAAAATCCTGGCCCTTCCTCAAAGCAAGGAACGATCAAAATAAATTCTAATTAGAAGCTTGTACCTTAAATAAAGATAATTCTATTTTTTTTAAAGAATTGAAACCGAATTTAAAAATTAAAATACTGCAGTGAAAAATATAAATAAAAAATCTGTAGTATTTTTTACTGTAGTATTAAAAATTTTGATTTATATTTTTCACTGTAGTATTTTAATTTTTCAACTTCAGTTTCAATTCTTTAAACAAAATAGAATTCTCTTTAAGATACAATAACACGCCGAACAAATATTAACAAAAATCAGCGTTATATTGTCAGATTTTCACAGGACTCTGTCATTATTTAAGGTAAAAGCTTCTAATTAGAATTTACTTTGGGGAAGAGCAGAATTTGCAAGTGAACTATTATAATTAAAATACATTAAAATGGTTCATTGGCTAATTCTGGATACAGAAAAGCAATGATTTTTGTAAATGAAAGATTTCAATTGATTTCAGTGTTCTTCCCCCCCCCCCCCCCCGATGAAGTGGCACTGAATTTCTGTTATGTTCGTTTTTCTTTAAATTTCTTAAATAATTTTTTGGAATATTGCTTGTTTAAAAGTTTTGGTTTTTTACATTTATTAAATTCTTTGTTGCATTTATAGGATTATTTGAAATTTATTTAAAAAAATTTTGGTCTGCGAACATTAGTTCTAAATTTCTTACTTTATGTCTTTAATGATTATTTTCAGCAGCTTAAAGTGCGAAAATACTAGGCATATTTATATAATAAAAAACAAACCACAAAAAACTTTAACAAACACTTATGAGCGTCGATTAAAATCTGAAACTTTTCGGGGTTCCTCCCCCCCGACACCCCTCAGAGCCGATTATAGCTTGATCTATCAGCTAGAATGCCACAAAATCTGCAAGGGGACTAATGATGCTATGGTAAAAAAGATTCTGTGAGAAAAAAGATTAGTTCCAAACATACCCGATAGAGAAAAATGTAGTGCTGTTCTTGTCTATAAAATTGAAAATTTGCATGAAAAGTGGATAAAATTTGAAAATGCAAATGCTTGATTACATAAATATTAGTAGCAGTATCACTAATTCAGTCTATAAAGATAGCAACTGCTGCTCTTTGTGAGTTAAAAAGTTGTAACAACCTAGCTAAAGAATCTCTATCAATTAATGCATTGAAAGGCATGATTCTGAAGTTCGAAGAAACAGGAACCTTAGTAGTCGGTTTGGTAGAAGATGGAAAGTGTCAGAACAGACTGATGTCATGATTGCAGTCGTTGACGGCACCCATGGGATCACTGCTAGTAGTTTCAGTACCCAGAGAATAGTGCAACAGTTGGATTTGAATCTTTTAATGGTATGGCAGATTTTTCAGAACCTGCTTCACAACTACCCATACAAGATTAGTCATATGCAGGAATTAAAACACTATGATTATGATAAACGGGTGGCGTTTGCTGTAACATTACTTACCAAGCTGGAGGTTGACAATTCTTGGCTGTGGAGAATTCTGTGGGGAAATGAAGCCCATTTTCACCTTAAATGGGACTTTTAACACTTGCAATTCTCGAATTTGAACATCCGAACAATTGCATTTAATTCAGAAAATCCCATTGCATTAACCAAAAGTCACTGTTGATTTCATCAATGGATGTTTTTTTTTCGAGGGGGGGGGAGGGTTATATTATTATAACATGACCACACGCCTGTTCCATTACCATGCAAAAGTATCATGATATGCTAACTGTTTTTGTCGTTCCGCAACCTCAGCAGAGGCAATTGCAGCTTCAGGTAATTTTTATGCAGCCTGGAGCACTACCGCACATTGGTCTATTGGTACAGTGGCTGTTGCACCATGAAAAAATCATGAATCGCATTTTTTCACTTGCATGGCCACCTCTCTTCCCTGATCTAACCCCATGTGACTTTTTCATGTAGGGGTATTCGAAGCTCAAGGATTATCTTGGTCGAGTCCTAACCTTGAGGACTTTAGAGAACAGCATATCACAGGCTGTGCTGAGCATTCTTGGTCACATGAAATGTACGGCTATCAAAAATGTTGTATACAGTATGCAATGTGTGATCCATGAGAAGGGTGTAGTACATTGCAACAGATCTGTACTCTCACCGAGGAAGCTCTTTTATTGAATAAAATGCTATGGTGCACTGAGATATCATCTCTGTAACACTTTGGGACAGTTCATTTGTTGCCTTAAAGCGGTGTTGGACTGAAATTTCTTCTATGTTATTGATTTATTTAATTCTCAACTGTGTAAACTGGGACAGCGCCATATTTCTCCCTTATCTCCAAATTTCGAAATTTCGAAACTTTTTTTTAATGTTGTCATTAGTCCGCCTACCAAAATTTGGAGGCATTTCAGCTGATAGACTGAGCTACAGATGGCTCTGAGAAGTTCTTTTAACCGTTTTTTTTTTTTTTTTTTTTTTTTTCCTTCCCCAGCTGCGGAAAAAAACTTTGGAACTCTGCTTTTTATGTTTTATATATATATATATATATATATATTAATTGAAAAAGAAAATGTAAAGCTAACTGGTAATTAGACGTAAGACTATATATATCTTGCTTGGCTGTTACAGTTTTGAAAACTGATAATATTCATTGTATCGGAGTATTAAAAAATAATATAAAATCTCTCATAATGATGTAATTTTTTTGACAGCAATCTCTAATTTAAGATGCAATGTGATGCTGCTAATTTTAATTAATCTCTGTTATAATTCTAGTGTAATAAAGTATTAGGTATCCCAATTCACATATTCTAAACAATATATTTTGCACCAAGAGGTGTTATTTTTTCCGATCTTTAGATGCAATAGCTAGAGATAGATATACAGATAAGTGTTACCAAAATCACTGGTGTTGTTTTGATGCCAGAAGCATTCTTAGTATGAAAATACATTATTGCCAAGAAAATATAAGCTGGGATAACCAATAAATACTAAAATATTGTACTAATATAAGATATTTTTTTTATTTTTAAGTCTTGTTCTTAAAATAAGCTAAGAAGTTATTTCATTTTCTGATCCAAATTTCTACAAAATTTGAGGAGAAAATTCTATGTAATATTATCTCATGCACTAAAAGTATTTAAAATAGTTTTACAGTAGTGCCATACACAAAAAAAACATCTGCCGAACAGACACATACAGTGGCCAAAACATGTCCTGTAAAATGAATCGCATGCAAATTAATTTACACATTATATATGCAGCTAAATTTGTTTCATTTTCAGTTCTGCAGTCATGTAAATGCAAAATGCAAAAAATGCATTTGTACATAAGCAGAAATAACATATAGAGGGGCAGACAAGTAACATATTTTTTAATATAGTAGAACACCAAAATTTTTCCCACCTTTCATATCTGAGATTATGTGGATTCTACGCTAGGTTATTTGATTATGAAAGAGCACACAAAGCTATTTGCTGAAGGGAAGGAATGCATTTGTGGAGGATTTTCTAAGGAAAACTGGTTCATGGTTTTCCCGTGTTACTCATGGGAAAACCATGAAAAACGTCCATGCATTAACCCGCTCCCTTAGGGCAGCGGTGGCGAACCTTTTTGAAGCCGCGTGCCCAAAACCCTTTTTTGGGTGGACCGCGTGCCCAAAACCTCTTTGATTAAATCCCCATCGAAGAGCAGTTTACCATGTTTTACCAAGCACAGTGAAATTTGAAAGCTGGTCATTGTTAGATGGTTTGTTTTAAAAAGATAATTGCAAAAACCAACTTTCTGGTAATTATAATTCCTTAATTTCCCTTCAATAAGCACCTTCCATTCAGCTTCATCAAATTCGGCAACAATCTTGTGGTTGGTGTTAAAGTGCCGTCTGACTCTAGGTGTGCGACACACAGCACTTTCCCGGCGCAGAATGCATAATGTTTTTCTATTGTGTTCGATAACTCCAAATGATTCTGTCCAAGTCTCTTGAAATGATATTCCACTATTAATGTTTAATTTTGCCTTTTTTCCTGGAGTCATTTGGGAGGGTTTCACCTGAAGTATAGAAAATCTATTTAACAATGAAAGTATTAAAACTCACCGACAGTCTGCAATGAATTTCTATTCATTTATCAAACATTAACTACTTTGGCGTATTCTTTGCCATGAAACAAGTAATATGACTGGCCCAAACAATTGAAACATTATAAATTGGGTCAATAAATATGTATATCATTTCTATGTCGATATATGATAATCTCATATCTAGGCTTAGGCCGTATGCCAGTGGCATTATGCGATAAGTAAGTTAAATGTTCAAGAACAGACTAAAACACTTATTTAAATTACATAGTATAATTTTATTCAGATTATTAATTAAGGAAGTAATATTTTAGTTGTGTGCCGGCTGATGAAGCTCTGCGTGCCAACTGTGGCACGTGTGCCATAAGTTCACCATCACTGTTCTAAGGTTTTAATCCTGGTCAAACTATCAGTTTTCAGTGGTCTTAAGACCTCTGGCACATGGCCACTGGTGGAATGTGGATTCTAGACTTCTGAGAATCATAGGTTGTAAATAAAAAATCTTAAGTTTAGAAAAAGGCTGGAATAAATTTAAAACAAATTTTAAAGAAAGCTCATAAAAGTACATTCTTTTTAAATTTCTTTTTACAGAGAAATATATATTAAATATGCTATAATTTTACATAAAATGAAGATAAGAAGCATACATTCCACCCTCTCCTTGTTTTTAAAACATATAGTAGTCTGTTTTGAAACTTTATAATGTTTAAGTTCAAGCATTTTTTCTCTCCTTCTCAAATTATACAAATTCATGATCAATTATACAGGTTTGTTGCTCAAAATTTATTTTTTTCACTGTTAATTATAGAAAAATCATGAGTTAGTTTAAAAATTGCAATTCTGATACAAAGAAATACTGTTGTTTTTAATCTTAATGAAGTTCGTGCATGTTTGAGTACATTGCCCTGCTAACGAAAGTGTGCCAACCTTGTTTTGATCCTTTGAGAAATACACTGCATTTCAAAATATGCTTTTGAAGCAGTCTATGAGTTTGACTTTAAACTTTCTTTAAACTCTTTAAGATCTTATTTTAAAAAGTTTAAAGAGGTCTTTAAGACTCTTTAAGATCTCTTTAAACCATACTTGTGCTTGTAACATACTACTATTCTTTTATTTTTTTAATATCTGATATTTTTTCTTAAAATATGTAGACATCATACATCAATGGTATACACAGCACTTGCTGCTGTTTATTAACTGTTCTTGTGATATCAAGTGCACCTCTTCAGGACTTGCATAAAGTATTTAAAGATGGCTTTCCTGTACCTCGTTTATCTCTTCGTATGAAGTCTGAGGCTGTAGCTCCTTGGTTACCATGGATAAGAAGAGAACTATTTACAGACTTTGGCCAAAGTCATATGATGTCTAATGTGGCTGTTTGGCTTGCTGTGAGAACTTGTACAACATGGGCTTTTCCAAATCCATGTGAAATCATTCAAGTATGCAGTAATTTTATAATTATTATGCTTGACTTATAATTGGTTTGAATTGCTTATGAAATGACTACATGAATGACGTCTACTTTAAGATGATGGTAAAAATTTCATAGGTTATAATTTAAAATTTTTTCAAAAATTTTTTTAAAAACACAAATTAAAAAAGTAAATCATAAAAAAATGTGTGAATTTTATTTTGATTGAAACTAAATTTCGAATTCTGAAAGAATAAATCAATTAAGTGTAATTAAAAAGAAAGAGAGACTAACAAAACATGTACCAAATTCAAATAACATTGACGAGCTAAAATTTAGAGTAAAGATAAAGTTTTTTTAAAGTTTTTTAACGTTTTGGCATAATTTGAGCCGTAGAATCTAAGTATAGAACTTCATTTCAGAAAAAGCCCGCTTGTCAAAATACCTATGTTAGAACAATGCTATACAGTCAAAAGTCGTTAATCCGGACTCGTCCGCACTTCGACGATTCCGGATTATTGATTTTTCCGGATTATAGATCATCAGTTTAAATCTCGTAAGATGGCATGCAGAAATTCTAAAATTAAAAATATGAAACCGTAATTTATGAAATAAAGAACAATTATGATCTAAAAGGTATCAAAATTTAGAAAAAAAAAAGCTTAATATTTATTTCTTTACTTTATTAAACATTTCTTTCAATGTAAGTTGTTTAAGTTGCTTCGTTTTATGAGATAATACTTTCTCTTTAATTCTATTAACAGACATAATTTCTTGTTCAGTTACAAAGTTCCGCTGTTTAAGTCCCGTAATTGCTGTGCCGAGAATACCGACTAACTTGTCAATCGAAATTTTTTCGTTTTCACTAACCTCTCTGTCACCTTCTTCATGTCTTTATCCATTTTTTGATGCAATTCCACTTTTTGTTTGATGGACATCGGAACATACTTTCGTTTTGTAGATCCTTTGGGAGCTCCAGTATCGGAAATTCTATTTGACATAATCGAAAGTTCAAGTTTACTTTTATAAAATTGCTCCTACAGTCTGCAAAAAATAATAAGCCGGAAATAATTCGAAGATTAAGGAACAACGCAATCATCAACATTAACTGAAATAGATAATTTTAGCATATACCGTCTGTTATACATAAAACGCGCACGCGAAAACGTATTCTGCGCTTGCGCACACACATGTGCGCAGTCGTAAAGGTCTTACGCGCACGCGTAAACGCCTATGCGCATGTGTCAACGCGGCGCATGCGCAGGAAGTTTTTAGCTTTGAAGTCCGGATTATAGATCATTCCGGATTATGGGTGTCCGAATTAACGACTTTTGACTGTATATAAAGCTAATATATATCTTAATTCGCGCTTTCGAGACATGGAAAATGTAAGTTAAATTCCGTCAAATGAGATTTTAATTTCCTGTTCCAGTAGAACGGAAGCTAAATAACTGTACCCTCCTTTTTTTTGTGCAGTTTGTATGTGTATATTAGTTTATTTGAAAATATTGATGGCAATATGAAAACTTTTCCAGGCATTTACTGAACATCATTGTACATTGTCTATTTTACTAATGATGCAAGCTACATATTGTAATGATCAGTTGAATGAAAGGGGTGAAGATCAACACTTTACAGAAGATTCTAAAATTAGGTTTGCATATGCTGTGTTTCAGTTGATGTTATGCTACAATGATAAATCATGTCTACATGACATTCTTCTCCCAGTTATTGAAAAGTAAGTTTTATAGCACTAATAATCAACCCATATAAGCCTAATTTTCCACACATGAAAGTTATTTACAGCCTACTGTTCAAAGACATCAAAGTAATGTGATCAATCCAATCACGCATGTTTTGTTAGCAATGTATTTATATTATTTAAAGCACAGGCTTAGTCACCACAGCAGCCAACAGGGATGTTGTAAAAATTTTATCTTCTTTTTCATAATCAGGAACAGTATATATCTTAACTTAATAGAAGAACGAAATATTTTTTCCTTCAAATTATTTTTTTAACACTTTTTAGCGTAATGTATGTGAATTTTGGGCCCAAGTTCAAATTTTTAACTGCCAGTATAAATGGGAAAATTGGATGAATATTATTTAATATTTTCTGTTTTAAGCCAATCATTGTAAGGTGTATGACAGTTCACAATTAGCAATACAAAATACTGCCACTCTGGGTTTTCTTTGTTTTAACATTGTAAATTTTAACTAATTTAGCTGTCTTCTCGACTTATTTTCCTTAGACAAATTATCATCATCATAAACTAATAACTGAACTTCAATAATACACTAAGGTAAAGTGTAGCTAAATAGCATATATTTGCTACTACTAATTGTGTGCAACTAAAATTTAAAATTAATAAAAAGTGTGTATGGATACTTAAGATTTCAAATTAATGCAGAATATTTAAGTTAAGGAACCACATTCAAACTGATACATTGCAAGCTTTAGCTTCACTGAAAGTCAGCCTTTGCTAATGTTGACCTCTGAACAGATAATTTAAATATTTCATCAATGTTTTATTGGGTAGCACGTCATGATGCATGCCACAAATTGTTTGAAATGCAAATAAAAACAGCTAATTTAGCACTGCCAATCCATACTCTCTAAATATTGCATGCACTGCTGCTCAAAGCCAACCTTATTTTTAATTTCGGTAAAGACCATTGAAAAAATAGAAAGTGCCAATAACTAGTTAACCTTGCAGCATAAAGGTAGATTTAAGATATGTCACTGGTTTTTCAACTGCCAGCAGAAAAATATAGTAGTGTAAAATTATCGTAGACTTAAAAATTGTGACAAAATAATCTTCTAACATTAGAAAAAAAAACATTTTAGTAAAGTGCTGAATGTAATTAAAACACATAGAGAATAAAGAGTGATATGAAATAGTAATTGCTTGCAAAGGCAATAAACTTGTACACTGCAAGAAAAAGGGAGCTACAGTTCTGTATCTCTCGTTCTACTGAGCCGATTGACAGAACTCAAATTGCATTTTTCATGTCTCAAAAGCGCGACTCAAGATATATATATTAGAATTATATATAGCATTGTCCTAATATAGGTATTTTGACACAAATGAGACGTTTTCTGAAGTTACATGCCAATTTAAGGTGAGAAATTTAAAAACGTATCCTTGCGCATTTTTCTCATTTTGCGCTAAGAATAATTCACTTGGCAAACTTCTCAATGTATAGCAACCTATTTTCCTTTCTTTTTTTTCATTGTACATGAGTGGAAAAAAAGTTATCATCCATACTTTCAAATAATTTTAACTAAGTGTGTAAACCACATTAGGCGTTATTATCGGTTATAACAGATATGGAATATTTCAAAACACGCCAACATGTAAATTCACGTATATCTTAGGAAATTTTGAATAAAAAACTCCAATTTTTTAGAGAAATGCTTAGAAATACATCTACTTTTGAAGATGATGATAAAATTTTTATAGGTTATAATTCAAATTTTTTTCGAAAAATTTATAAATATTATTTAAAAATACAAGTTTTAAAAATTAATCATAAAAAGAATAAGCGAATATTATTTGGAATGAACCTAAATTTCGAAATGTGAAAGAAAGAATCAAAGGAGCTTAATACAAAAAGAGATATTAATAAATATATATCAAATTCAATTAACATTGAGAAGCTAAAATTTTGAGAGCTAGTTTTTTAAAAACTACTCATGCGATTTTTATAAAACTTGGCAGTTTGGCATAATTTGAGTCGTAGAATCGAAATATGAAAAAAAAAAAAAAAAAAAAAAAAATTGACATGTCATTTCAGAGAAGTCCGATTTTTTGTTAAAATATCTATTTTGGAACAATGTTATATAAAAATCTAATACATATCCTAAGTCGCGCTTTCGAGACATGAAAAATGCAAGTTGAATTTCGTCAATCGGCCCAGTAGAACGGAAGATATAAAACTGTCCCTCTCCCCTCTTTTTTTTGTGCAGTGTATCAAAGAAGAATAATAATATAAAGAAAAATTTTCACATGATTAGAAATCAGCATGGAATTTAATTAACCAGGATGTTATTCTGTAGAATTTCTTCAATGAAACATTTTTTTTTTAATTGCAAAGGCACTTGATTATATATCATGGGCCTCTATGTATCAAAGATGCATGAGAGTACAGTATAAAGAAGTATAAAATTAAACCTTACAAAACAGCAATTAACCTCATTACAATAACAATAACTATATCGACACTGGAACATGGAATAACATATGACTACATAAAGCATTAATTTTTTTTTTAATTAGTCCCTGGATGTTAACTGCATCAACTGTCTTAACCTGCCAATATCAACTTTATAGGTTTCCTTCCATCAACAAGGAACATTTTAGCGAATGATTCTTTAATGAAATTAAAAACATAACTTAGTCATAAACACAATTTATGATAAATTGTATGAAAATATTGTAGCATGCATAATAATTGTTATATGCATAGTAATTTGTGCAGTGTAATTGTTGCTCTTAAAATCTGAATATTGTAATATTACTCTTAAAAACAAAATGCTTTGAAATTTTCACTTAAGTTTCTGGAGTTTAGATGTCTTCAAATGCTCCATTTTAAACGAAATAAGAGCTTTTTGTCTTATTCTAAATTGATCGTTTTTATTTTCTAGCCTTAGTTGTAACATATTATTAATTTTTTTAATGTATTGAGTTTATTATTGTTAGTTCCTTATTAAAATGGCTACCACATAAGGCTTTGGGGATTAAGTTAATTTTGGATGATAGAGCATTAATATTTAACAATAAGCTCAATTACATTTCGTTAACTATATAATTTGTTACTTTATCAGAAACTGAGCTTTAGTCTGTTTGAAATTTAACTCACTAACTAACTAACTTTAATTGTTTAATTATATAATTGAAAATAATTGAATATCTCTGATTCTGTTATTCATCCATATATTATTTGTATTAAGCTTTTATATATAACTCTGCCATGTACAATATTTAAAATAACCAATTTAAAATAACCTTTAATTTTTTTTTAAATTTTTTTAATAAGCAGCACTGCTTATTTAAAATTGTATTTATAATAGGTAATGCACCACTGAATGACCTTAGAATGTACCAGATAACTTGAGTTAATTCTTAAATGATTCAGGCTTCTGTTCCATAAAAATAACAGTAATATGTTGAAATACTTTTTTTACAGGACAAATGGTTGGGAAGAATTTGATATTTCAACTGCAAGTAAAGCACTGACTGAAGTTAGTGAGTTATTTGTTGAAGAACTTTTTAAAAATCTTTATCATAACTTTATTCACCTGATAAATATTTATTCTTTTTAAAAAAAATAGAGATCTTGGTGGTATACTGGACTTTACAGAATTCTGAGATCTTATTTTGAAAGGTAATAATTGAATTGTTTTTCTTTATAAATATAATACCTTTTTGTAAAGATATTTTATTACCTTTTTATTATTATTATTCCATTAATACGTTGTTTTTATACATATTTCAAATTTATAAGCTAATTTTGTTTTCACCAGCGTATTTGAAGAATTGGTGCCCTTTTGGTCAAAAATTAAAAGAATATGTGAAGCTTCATCTGAGTTAGAATCATGGACTATATTAAGAAATGATTTAAAAGAATACGTAATTTGCATTTGTAATAAAGATCCTTTAAATTCTTTTAGAGGTAAGTTCAGTTTTATCATTCAGTGAAAGAAATATGGCAACTTCATGATTATTTTCCAATATCTAATAAAGCTTGAATAAATATAAACAAAATGTTACTCTAGGTATGTGTGTATTACAGCTTTTCAAGTTTATCATCTCACAGTATTAATTTGTTTTCTCTCATTGTTTTAAAAATCCAATAAGTAGATATAAAGTTTATGTAGAATATTTTATGTAAATGTATTTATGATTTAAATGTGCATTTTTTTTTCCAGATGATTTTGAAATATCTGATGAAATTGTTTCATATTTATGTTTAAAGAAAATTCTGGAAAGTATGCATAAAAATTTGGTATCATTACCTCAAGCTCTTAAATTTTTCCTAATATCTATTGATATTCATATTGAAAATTATGTACCTGAGATACAACCTATTTGGCAGTCTGTTCCTTTACAGGTACAAGTTAAATTATATTATAACTTCATTTAGATGAAATTTTGTGTTTAAAAAATTATAATTGTAAAGTATTTATTTGCTTATGAATGTGTTCATAATTTTTCTTACTCTGTTCAACTGATATGACTAATGGTTTGAAATATTAAGATTTTAACTAATTTCTTTTGTTAAATTCTTTGCGCTACACTATAATAGTTATCCATGAATCTCTATATATCTTTATTGCAAATTTAGATGTTCTGTTTTTTTGAAGCTGCTGTTTATATTGCATGACTATTGATTGAAGTTCATAATTTCAATAGTGTTATTTTGAATTAAAACTACTTTTTATTTCAGTTTAAAATACCTTTAAAAAGTACAGATATTTAAATGTTATTTATTCTCAAGTATAAAATTGCCATTGTGAGAAATTAAAAAAATTTCGTATGGTTATTATATCTATCTGTCGTTTTTGGAAGAAATGTATTCGGTTGCTAAAAATGACAAATGTTAAATTGTAAGGTACCACTAAAACCATACTACTTGCTTTTTTTTTTTATTATTATTTTATGTAATTTTTTGGCGTTATGTTGTACCAGTTTGATTTGTCTTCTTTCTTGGTGATAATTTTGTTTATTTGCATGATCAAATTTTCATCCCATCAGTTATAACTTTAAAAAAAAAAAATAAAAAAAATAAAAAAAATAAAATAAAATAAAAAAGAAAGAAGAAGAAGAAGAAAGGAAGGAAGAAAACTACAGTGACTTATACAACTTGAAATTTTCCATTAGATGAAGAATTATTTTGTTTCTTCATGAAAGAGCTATTCTTCACAAAGAAAGATTTTGTTTGATTAACAACCTTATGAAATTAAAATGTAACTCGAAGCTAAAATGGTTCTTCAGCCTTCATTCATGCCAAGAAGAAAAAGGTCTCTGAACACATATATGGCTCTTAGATCCAGCATTTCTTTCATTAGTACCATACCATTCAGTTACTTATGATGTAAGGAGTTAATATTTATTGTTTTTTTGGGAACCAAACCTTGCTTCAAGTGAATCATAATGCTGTGAATGGTTTAAATAGTTACCTACAAGAGGTATATACCAATTCTTTGTTATCTCACTCTAACATTAAAATACATAGATGTAATAAAATTATGGAAATTAATAAGATCTTATTAAAAATTTTTGATGATATTCTTCTAACAATGGGTTTTGAAGCATTTTATCAAAAGGTTACATAATGTTTCTTGTTCCTGATTATTCTGTTTCATACAGTATCCATCTAATCATAAGGATTGCTCTCTTTTTTCTAGTCGTAAGGAAAGAAATGAGCCAAAATGTACTAATGCGGTGTTGAAAATGATTGGTGTGGTTTTAATGGAAAAGTACCAAATGTAATTTACTTACATAAGGGAAAAATTTAAAGCATTTGAGAGAGATTAATACTTTATATATTAATAATAAGCAAATTTTCTGATAAGTAAATGATTATCTTATTTAAATCAATAAAATTAATTTTCAGTTAGCGGAAAGAAAATTAAATTCTTTATTTTATAATTATAACAAAAAATAATTTTGATTAGCAGAACTTTCTTACCAACTTTTATACCAAATAGAAAAGAAAATTGTTTATTTTTTTTTACTCTTTTATTGGCCTATAATAAATTTCGTTTTTAAGATTAGCTTGAAATTTTGGAAATTAGACTTCTAACCCTTTGAAGGTTACCAAAATTAGTAGACATTGCTATCTTAAAATAAGTAGTATTCCACTCTAGTGCTATTTCCTGCCTCATTTTTCCTTAATTAGTTCACTCATGGTGTTTCACTGTGGTTGGAATTTTGTCATCAATTTTTAACCTACTTTCTGATAAGCTATCGACTTTAAATTTTGTACACATTCTGTTAGTCGATGACAGTGCAATGAAGGGAATTTTTTTTTCAAAATTTGATTTAGATTTTTTTTATTTGATGGTTAAATGATTTTCGGACATATCTTTGTTTGATGAACAAACTAAACATATCAGAATTTCACTGTTTGTGCCATCGAATAGAGCAGGAAAATATTTTTCAATAAACTTACATGAAAATTGTAAAATTTCTGAAAAATCAGTCGATTTTTTAAACTATTTCACAATTATAATTTAAAATTTCAGCATCTAAAAATATATTCGATATAAAATTTCGAATTTTTCAAAGGTTATAAAACAAATTTTTCGCCTTCTTTTAAAACGGGAATAATTAAAAATATTAATTGACTGGTTTCCCTTTTTTTTTTTTTTTTTTTTTTTTTTTTTTTTTTTTTTTTTTTTTTTTTCATGTGTAGAAGTCTGAAGCAGATGAGCACAAAAAGCAATTCTTAAAGGAAAACTGCTTTTGAGCTTGCCATCTTTGTGCACTTGATGATTTGACGATATTCATTTTATTAGTTTCAAGCAAAATGGTTTTTATAACATTGTAATTACATCCAATTTCTGAAACTGATTATCTAAAGCAATTTCTTAATTCTCTAAAGTCACCTAGTTATTTTTCTTTCTTTCAAAATTTTCTTATTACATATTGATTATATTTTGATAATGATTAAAAATTTCATAATTGAGAACCTGTAAATAAGATTAAAAAACAGAAAATAAAATAGAGTTAAAAAAAGTTTTAATGCAATAAACTTTTATTTAAAATGGGTTTGATTATTAATGCACTAAAAGGAGAAAAAATAATATATCATATAGTTTAAAGCAGTGGTTCTTAATCGGGGATGGGGGTGCGGGAGAAGCCCCTACCTAACCATAAAAATTATAAATATCATTTATTAAATTTCTTATAATAAAATATTTGAAATCTGCAATAGTGTCACCAATATTGAAGCTCATAAAAATTGGTAGCACCTAGCTCACTTATCGGCAAAAGACACAGGAAAGAGCCGGTGCCGATGGGCGTACACACTACGCTACGAAAAGGCATGAAACTCTACAAACAATCGCGAACAGGCAGCTAGGTGACGGAGAAAAGAAAAAACATTTTGTGGGAATACAAGCGGAGAACGTTATCCTAGCTTGCGCATGCGCTGAGTTCAATATGTGCTACTCCAATGGAATCTACGGATTCACAAATTTGTATCTGCATCTACTGCGCCTGTGTTAGGTTGAGTCAAGTTGAGTCAACTATTGTGTCTGCGACATGTGTATTGTGTATTCTGACTTGTCCAGAAACCTCTTGAGACTAATACATTCTTTATTGCTCGTTCAAGCCGAATAGGAGTCAGTGATATTACAAACGTAAGAACATTATATATATTATATTACATTATTTCTAAATAATTAAATCGATTATAGTGAACCCACTATGTCAAAAAAAAAAAAAAAAAAAAAAAAAAAAAAAAAACGACAATGGAACGATAAGTATGCCGGTTATGGATTTACCTGCACAACCGAAAAACGATGGCACGCAACGAATGCAATGAATCTTGTGTTCCAAGATATTTTCAAACAGCAATCTCAAACCATCAAAGTTATTAGAGCATTTCAACAATCTGCATGGTGGCGAAAAAGCGCATAGCATAAACAGCTTGAACTCAAAGAAGGCTCGGTTTGATACCAGTGGAAATATCCTAAAATTGTGCGGACCAGCAATTCAAAAACCTTTATTAGAAGCGCATATCAAGTGGCATATTTATGTGCAAAAAAAAAAAAAAAAAAAAAAAAGGGGGGGGAAACCTCACACGATCGCTGAAGAGTTGATTAAACCTTCTGCTTTAATTATTGCTAAAACAGTTTTAGATTCGGAAGCACATAAAAAAATCCAACAGATTCCATTATCGAATGATATTATACGATCGCGAATACAAGATCTCAGTGAAGATATTTTAATGCAAGTAATTGAAGACATAAAAATCAGTCCACTAAAAAAAAGCATGCAACTGGATGAGTCAACTGATGTTGATAATTGTAGCCAACTTTTGGTATTTGTCAGGTATGGGAAGGAAAAAGAGGTGATAGAAGAATTTCTATTTTGTGAGCCCCTGGAGGTGAATACGAGAGGAATTGATGTTTTCAATCGCATCAAAGATTTTTTTATTAAATATCAATTACCAATGAATGTGATTGGCTCAATATGCACTGATGGAGCACCAGCAATGTTAGGCAAAAATTGAGGATTTTTTCCACACATGAAAAGAGAATTACCGGAAGTTATAATAACACATTGCATGTTGCATCGTCATGCACTTGCGTCGAAAGCATTGCCAGAAAGTTTAAAACAACATCTAACTACAGCAGTAAATGTAGTAAAATACATCCGAAGGCGAGCGCTTAATCATCGCATTTTTCGTACATTTGCAAAGAAATCGGTGCTGATCATACCGTGCTCCTATATCACACCGAAATACGATGGTTATCTAACGGTCGCATGCTTAACATAGTTTTTGAATTGCGTGATAAAATCTCAATCAAACTAATCAAAACTGTTATTTAGTAAACGATTTTGAGAGTAATGATGCAATGCTGAGGCTGGCCTACATAGCAGACATATTTAGCCATTTAAATGAATTGAATATATCAATGCAAGGATTTTGTATAAATATAATAATATCTATATATGATAAATTATTTTTCTTGTTTTAGCACATTAATTATCCTATCCATTTTAAATAAAAGTTTGTACAAAATCCTTTTTTTAAATTATAATAAATTATTGATATAAAATATTGGATTGCAACCCTTTTATAAAGTAGCAGTCTAGCATTCTTATTCAATAGTTATATTTTTGCACTTCATGAATTTTAGCAGAATTTTGCCTTAAATTGAATTTTTAACAAGTACTATTTATGCTGTGTAATAATCAAAGGATAATATTAGAAAATAAATAATTATTAAAAAACATTAATGATAATTTTTTTGAAAAATTAAGGAATCTATTATTTTTTTAATTTTCATCCCTTTACTGCTTTAAATTTAATTTTTAATAAGCATTATATACATGAAGGGTAACAGAACGCTTGAATACTGAAATGAATATGAATAC